ATGTCAACAAATAAAAACATTCTACTACTAAACCAATTGTTCACACCGAATTATTATAAGTCCCTTGGGTTCCTAGTGGAACATAGGGCTTCACTTGCACGTCGTCATTTCACTCACTTCTCCGTAGTCTTTTTAACCTGGTTCCACGACTACCTATAAGTTTCCATTTCCTCCTCACACGATCTCCTCCATGTCACCCTCACCTCGGACGACCAACTCGTCGTTTCCCGTTCGGATTCCACTCGACAGCCTGGCCTGAAGGGCGATGTCCCCAAACTGCCTTCTCAGTGTATGTCCAATCCAATTCATCTCCACTTTATTCTGCATATTTGTTGGGCGATGGGTTCTTCGTTGGTTGGTTGGTTGGTTCGTTGCCACCCAGCCAGAGTCCCTTGCCGCTCATTCTTTCTGGCCATCTCATCTTCAGTATGGAGTGGTCGTAGGCGGTAGCTGTTGATGCATGTCTGCAGTTTGTTGAAAATGCTTTTCATAACGCGCCAAGTCTCTCAACTATCATATAGAAGCACTGACTTGACCCAACTAATGTTGAAAATCCGGATCTTGTTGTTTATGCTGAGTGGAGAGCAAGCAGTAGATCTCCACACTGATTTCAGAATAATGCAGGAAGGCCTGTCTTGCTGTCTTTTCGATCCTGGCTTCGACGTCTTCATCTGTGCCTATGCCACATGCAGTTGGAACGATGCTGCCTGCCTAGGTAGGTAGGTAGGTGAAAGAGACAGCTTCCTTTTGATTTCTCCCGTTGATGGTGATTGGTGCTTGTTGTTGATTGGTTGGTTGGTTGGTTGATTGTCTTCATCACCTCTGTCTTCTCTACGTTCACTTGAAGGAAGTCCTGTCCTCGCCGCCCCACCTAGTCATTCTGTCAACTTGTTAGTTTCCGCCTGTAGGTCTTCGAGTTTGTGCGACACTAGACATAAATCATCATCGTTGGCGAAATCCATATCTTCTAGGGTCTTTGTCTTTTCATGGGTCGACCAGCAAGCGTATGCCCATATCTTCTCACTCCCACAGTTTCTTGCATCATCCAGTCAAGTCCAGTCAAGTCGACCTCAATCAGGAAGATCATCGGTGATGGTAGGCAACCTTGTCTTACTCCTGTCTCTTGTCTTCACTTCAAAGGCATCACTGAGCTCTTTCTCTCTCTCTCTATCGTGAATCACTTGACATGTAGCATCATATAGCATATAGCTAGCTGTTGAATGAGGTTGATAAAGGTTTGTGTCACCAAAACCGTAATGTTGAAGCAGTTGGCAAATTACTTCTCGATCGACGCTATCGAAGGCCTTTCCAAATTCGATGAAGTTGAGGTACAGGTACAGTTGACTGCCATTCTATGCCATGTTCTATGATGATGTGTAGCATAGTGTTGAAATTTGATCCGCACATCATTTGTTATTCCTGAAGTCAACCAGCCAGCCTGTTCCGGCCGTAATTTTGAATCCAGTGCATCTTTTGGTCTCTGCAGGATGATGCGGCATAATATTTTTCTTGCTTTTGGTGGACAGGAGCATGATTCCATGCCAGTTCTTGCAAAGACTTGGGTCTCCCTTGTTTGGGAGTTTGACAAGGTAGCCTTTCTTCTAATCTGGAGGTACCTTTCCTTCCTTGCAAACCTTCTGCAGTAGTGGTGTGAGCATGTCCGCTGTTGTCTCTGCGTGTGTTCACCCTGAATACTTCGTGCAAACTATACACTAGAACAATCCTCAGATATGCGTTAAATCAAGGGGACACTTCAACAGTGGTCACGGTGACTAAATTAAATGTAACGATATGATTCAGTTTTCCCTCCTCACTGCATAGCTTGACGTTCTTTTTAGTGTCTGAGTCAATCATTGATGAGAATCTGCATGAGTGACAGATAATATCCAATTCAGAAGAAGTAGTTCCATTAGAAGTCAGTAATTCAGTAGGCAACACTTTAACAAGCAGGATTGAGTTCTATTCTCCTTCACACACACCCCACACAAATCATCTAACTGTCACGTTTCAGATAGGATTAAAGTCATGTGTCTTGGATCCTAGTATCAGATGATAGACAAAATGAGATTATAATATATTTCCCTGTATCATATAAGCTAACAAAGAGAACACATACAATAGTCATGACTACGGAAACACGTCTTCGTATTTCATCACTACACTGAATGACATGATTAGGATCACATACACATTCATGTGTATCGTTTTACGAGTAACTTGGGTGATATCGGCTATCACCTGATTGCAAGTTTTTACATTTAGGTAAAATAAAAGATGAAATCTGCGTCAACACCATCTCTGAAATTGTGAAATGCTACTAATCAGAAAACATTTCAGTAAGCTACTTCTTTTTTCTAATTATTTAAGTGTCGGGTTAATAAACACTTTACAAAGTGGTCAGCTGTTAGAAATTGTGCAACCTGAGAATATTACTCCCACATCTCTTCATGTTTCTTTACTCATTCATACGGTCTGTCCAAAACAGAAACTTGTAAAGACTGTTAGTTGTATGGAGGCGATTGGCAGGAAATCCTGTTCGAACTAGGTTTCATGCTTTTTGGCACTCATTAGTAAGGCGTATCGGAAACCTCGAAAGAACTGATATCCCGCCTAAAATTCGAATCGGTGTCACTCAGTGCTGCAGTCAGAGACGTTGCTATTGACCTATTCAGGTGACGATTGACCTCTTATAGGACTGGAGGCAACCAACCTCATGTCTAGTCTTAAGCGCTGACTGAATTCTATCGATCATTTTGCAATGTGACCATTAGCCTAAAAGGTTTAGCATCGCGATGTACTATAAAACTCCTTGTTGTTTCATTTCATTACTAAACATGAAGCAGAGAGCGGATTCAAACCCGATACCAAGATGATCAGATGTTTGTCATGAAGTTCAGAGATTACTTAAAGAAACTTTTATTACTGCTCAGAAATTGAAATCGAAGCTGTTAATAATATAACCAATTTTTAATTTGGAGACTTTTCGGATTGATTGATTCCAAGTTGATATTCATCACCTACTGATATCAGTCAGTTTTTACATTTTATATCGATTAGTTATCATTCCTGTTAGTGATAAGACAAAGATGAGAAGAATCAACGTATAAGTTGGCCTAGAAAGGCATCGGTTTAAATTCTCACATCGAAGATGTGAACAGTATTAAAGGTATCTTTGAAGCACCAAAATAGTATGATGAAATTAATACGTGCATAACATTCAGGATAATATTGCACCATCACTAACAGTTTTTGGTAGGCAGAATTGGCTCATTTAAAGACTGGCTGGCAGTTTTATTCGTGAACAGTTAGGTTCATCAACTAGGTACTAGATAAAATTTAGTTTACACTGCCAAATTCTTTAGACTAATCGAAATCTTCAAATTGAAATAATATATGTAGTTAAACATTCAAGTCGCACCCATGTCTAGACACTAATGAGCTACAAACTTATAGAGGTTCACGAATTAGACCATGAATCACACACACCTATTGTATATAGACCAAATATACTACGTGGATGACGAAAACTCAGTAGGTAACACAAAGTTCCAACTTATAATACACTGAATAATTGAAGGTTAAGTATCTGAAACAACGAACCATCCACTCTACTTTACACAATCCATAGAAATACTTTTTATTTGACCTTGAGATACTTAAATTATTTATTTATCTAGAAGAGATTCAAAACAAACAAACAGACACTAATAATATATTTGCCAATTTTATCGGTGAATATAAAAATCGAAATCTATTATGATACATATGGTTGATAAGGTACAACTATAGAGAAAACTAATCGAAACCTTCCATCACCATTACATCTATAGATAAAGAGTATAGGATACAGTTTCTTAATACCCAATATACATAAATAGTGAGTATTTCAACAATTAATAAGCAGTAGACAGGCTGATATGTCCTATGAAGTAGGATACTAAATCAAGATGAAGGAAAACCCTGATGATAATAATAGGATTCAAACAAGAGGCCTTCAACTTACCAAATAAAATATACTGATAAACAACCGTATCAAAACATTCTCAATAATTATTTCCATGTTTTTTGTGCTATGCAACAACTCACATTTACTGTGTAGGGGAAAATTATACCGCCTGTCCAAACCTCAGTCGACGGGACAGGGTTCGAACTCACGACCCATTGATGCCAAATGAATTGAACCACTTGAGCTACTACTGGTTGACCTATGAGATCCAGTCAGTAACTCATATAAATCATCGAGTGCCCTGCATCAATATTGTGTGAATGAAAGACAAACAGCTACTAATAGGCCGTTAAACGAGCTACTCAAATAGGTATTATCGACTGGACTCAAATCAAGATGAGTTATAAAGTGACGGCAAATAACTGATTAAATTAGGAGGTTTGAGGCGATTTAGGGATTTTTCAAGTTGGTGTACATCATGGTCTGGCATTAGTTGGAGGGATATTGGAAACCTAAGAGCTGTATCGTCCCAGTATGGGACTCCCCAGCAGTACGCAACCATGACCCCGTCATGACCCAAGCGGGGTGCTTGGTGAGAGCTCACTATTGCAGAAGGCTCTTTAAGTTGGCCCATTTGTTGCTAGTAATCCAAGCTATTAACTGAAAAGTATTGATATTTTATGTACATTTTGAGCAACCGGATTACAGAAAATTTATTGGAACCTTAGGGTGAGATGGCTGTCCATAGATGTCTTTAGGGATTTAAAGCTTCTTGAAAGGTCTAGTCGATACATATTACATATACTAACACGTATCCACCGTTCATGAGCTCCTACAACCAAAGCATGCACACTTAACGGTTCAGTTATGGAACGATACAACCACAAGACTAATTACATTCCACTTCATTTTAGCTGAAAACGAGAATGAAACTTAAAGCCAAGTTTATCTTTGCTATGCCAATAAAATGAGGTAACATACACCTTTATAAGATGAAAAAACAACAGTTACCAGGGTATAGAAATACAATTATTAAAAATACAGATAAACATACTCGCTTTTTACGGATGGCACGAAGTTTTTTCCCAACTAAACCAATAACATGAGGATTTGTGCAATTTGCTTGTAGCGTATACAGTTCCTGCTAAATCGAGAAAGGATGAAAAATCAAAAAGCCCGGTAATAATGAAAGCGTATCGACTTAAGGAGTAAAATGCAGGCAGATAGACAAATCGATGCAGAATTACAATACTTCAGGCAAGCATAATTCGGTAAGCTCTTGTAAAGGGTTATGAGTTTACAAAGGAGTAAAATACCAACTCCAGGCAACGGCACACTGAAACTGTAAGGTGCTGAAAGGTTTTTCTGTGTTTCATAACCTGTTAAAAGAGGACAATTTCATTCAATCCTGAAACTCATTCGGTTTTCTTAAGCCTCAATCTAGAAACGTAGACAGTGTAAGTCAAACTAATTCCCAATTGGTTAGCATTAGAAGAATTGTATCTTCCTTTATAAAATGTAATGAGCAACGGGAATATACTACTTTTGATTCACATACATTAGCTAGCAGCCTCAATGGTGCCAAACGAGGATTCACAGTACATTCAAATTTAGATATGCAGTGAATTTAAGGTTCATCGGTCTAGGGCATATAATTCTCTATCAGCGTTTCATAGCTTCCAACCTCACCTACTCGGTTACAATCATTAGCAGTCTACATGCAGAAGTTGAACCTCGCCTAGTTTACCAGTGCATTAGTTATTAGCCATTCTTAAGTTAGGATAAAGAGGGGAGGTTGGGCATAGGGCTAGCAACTCTACCCCATAAAACCAATCCAATCGCTAAAGAAACTTCAAAGCACGAAAAAATACTGAAAATAAAAATAAATGTATTCCTTGCTGGAATCAGAGAGATAAAATAACGCCAGTTAGTGTAAGCCTTTGGTCCATGTGTCTTCACTCGATCAAAGCAAAGTAAACCATGGGGACATCGAATGTCCCCACCATGTATGAACCTAGTAAGGCTGCCCTGATTGCCAAAGAGATGAGAAGATATAGCATAGGAGTGCTCGGAATCTGCAAAAGTAGGTGGAATGGAAGTGGACTCTCCAACTGTCAACTGGCAAGTCGATAATCTGCTTCGATATTGTCACCCAAACAACAACCACGAACACACTGAGTTTTGCAGTGGCTATTATGATGTCCCAAACAGCATCGAAGGCTCTCACGCAGTGGGAACCAATCTCCTCCTCCAGCATGGTTCAGCTGAAAAGGAAGGAAAGTCACAATCATACAATGCTACGCTACGCACCTAAAAATAATATAGATCAAGAGAAGAAGGAGGAATTCTATAGGCAACTGCAATCAGTTCTAGACAAGACACCACCCCAGTTGGCGACATCGAAATTCTAGTGGGAGACATGAATGCGGAACAAGAGCAACAACACAGGAAAAGAATTCATCATGGGTCAAGAAGCACTTGGTGAAATGAATGAGAATGGAGAAAGGGTGGCAGACTTCTGCGCATTCAACGATTTGGTGATTGGAGGCAGTGTGTACAAACACGAGGATATTCACAAAGCGACACGGATTCGGTTTCACTGGATGAATACACTACACTAAAAATCAGATCGACTTCATCTAAATCTAAAGAAAGTGCAGACGCAGCTTACTGGACGCAAGATCAAGAAGGGAGGTAGATGTAGGTTCAGATCACTCACTATCTAGTCCAAGGAACCTTCAAAATCAAGTAGATCAAGCATTCAAAGAAGATGGTGATAGACCAGTTCAAGTTCAACACCCAGAACAGAAAGTGAAGGACGAAACTACAAAGGACATCTTCACGTCAGTCAGTCATCAGAACAAAATGGCAGACATTGAGCAACATCCCTGAAGAAACCTGTGTGGAAGAACACTGGAACTCAATGAAAGAGATGTGGAAAGAAACCTCCATAACCGTATTAGGAGGAAGAAGAAGCAAGACAAGGAATGGATCTCCACAAACACAAGAAGCTGACAGAGGAGGGAGAGGAAGATGGTGATGGTGATGCAGAAAGATGAACCGGTGCAGGGATGAAAAACGAAAAAAGGAACTGAAAACAACCTACAAAACACAGGACAAAGAAGTGAAGAAGAATGCGCGCAAAGACGAAAGACACTTCTACGACACATTGGCAAGTGAAGAAGAACAGGCTGCAGGTAGGAGAGGCCGGATAACATTGTATCAAATAACCAGGTTATTATCTATCTGGAAAGAAATGAACACACATGAAACCAATGAAAGATAGTGAAAGAAACTTAGTGATCAAAGAGGAGAAAAAAAGGAAAGATGGGCTGACCACTTAAAACAGCACTAGAATCGACAATCACCTGCAGCCACAGAACTATCAGTGAACACAAGCATCCCGGCAAAAGCAGAAGTCGAGAACTCCATAAAGATACTGAAAGCAGGGAAAGTAGAAGGATCCCGTGGAATTCCACCAGAAGCACTGAAAAGAGAGGCAACGACAACAGCGGACATGCTCACACCACTACTGCAGAAGGTTTGCAAGGAAGGAAAGGTACCTCCAGATTAGAAGAAAGGCTACCTTGTCAAACTCCCAAACAAGGGAGACCCAAGTCTTTGCAAGAACTGGCATGGAATCATGCTCCTGTCCACCAAAAGCAAGAAAAATATTATGCCGCATCATCCTGCAGAGACCAAAAGATGCACTGGATTCAAAATTACGGCCGGAACAGGCTGGCTGGTTGACTTCAAGAAGAACAAATGATGTGCGGATCAAATTTCAACACTATGCTACACATCATCATAGAACATGGCATAGAATGGCAGTCAACTGTACCTGTACCTCAACTTCATCGAATTGGAAAGGCCTTCGATAGCGTCGATCGAGAAGTAATTTGCCAACTGCTTCAACATTACGGTTTTGGTGACACAAACCTTTATCAACCTCATTCAACAGCTAGCTATATGCTATATGATGCTACATGTCAAGTGATTCACGATAGAGAGAGAGAGAAAGAGCTCAGTGATGCCTTTGAAGTGAAGACAAGAGACAGGAGTAAGACAAGGTTGCCTACCATCACCGATGATCTTCCTGATTGAGGTCGACTTGACTGGACTTGACTGGATGATGCAAGAAACTGTGGGAGTGAGAAGATATGGGCATACGCTTGCTGGTCGACCCATGAAAAGACAAAGACCCTAGAAGATATGGATTTCGCCAACGATGATGATTTATGTCTAGTGTCGCACAAACTTCGAAGACCTACAGGCGGAAACTAACAAGTTGACAGAATGACTAGGTGGGGCGGCGAGGACAGGACTTCCTTCAAGTGAACGTAGAGAAGACAGAGGTGTTGAAGACAATCAACCAACCAACCACCACCAAACAACAACAAGCACCAATCACCATCAACGGGAGAAATCAAAAGGAAGCTGTCTCTTTCACCTACCTACCTACCTACCTAGGCAGGCAGCATCGTTCCAACTGCATGTGGCATAGGCACAGATGAAGACGTCGAAGCCAGGATCGAAAAGACAGCAAGACAGGCCTTCCTGCATTATTCTGAAATCAGTGTGGAGATCCACTGCTTGCTCTCCACTCAGCATAAACAACAAGATCCGGATTTTCAACATTAGTTGGGTCAAGTCAGTGCTTCTATATGATAGTTGAGAGACTTGGCGCGTTATGAAAAGCATTTTCAACAAACTGCAGACATGCATCAACAGCTGCCGCCTACGACCACTCCATACTGAAGATGAGATGGCCAGAAAGAATGAGCAGCAAGGGACTCTGGCTGGGTGGCAACGAACCAACCAACCAACCAACGAAGAACCCATCGCCCAACAAATATGCAGAATAAAGTGGAGATGAATTGGATTGGACATACACTGAGAAGGCAGTTTGGGGACATCGCCCTTCAGGCCAGGCTGTCGAGTGGAATCCGAACGGGAAACGACGAGTTGGGTGTCCGAGGTGAGGGTGACATGGAGGAGATCGTGTGAGGAGGAAATGGAAACTTATGGGTAGTCGTGGAACCAGGTTAAAAAGACTACGGAGAAGTGAGTGAAATGACGACGTGCAAGTGAAGCCCTATGTTCCACTAGGAACCCAAGGGACTTAATAATAACAAGACAGAAGTTGTGCTTCATCGTCTAGTATGCGAAACCGTACACAGTTCATGAGTCACGAGAACAGGATTGTAACATCTGTAGTGGTAGTGTCACCGATAACCTGTATCACAATGGAAATAAGCTTTCTAAAGCCTTGAAATAAGTTCAGTCAAACTGATGATATCATGATCAATCAGCTGAAAAACGTACAACTTACTTTTAACGGTACCAAGGGAGATGTAGAAGAATTATCATCCTTTTGTTCGTCAACTTGTTGAAGCTTTTTATTAACTCTGACCATTTAATCAACATATTCCTGTAGACTGGTAATTGTATATTATTTTGTTGTTTAAAGTGTTTTCTTCTCTCGATAAATATCGGTTCGTAATAGTGCAGCCATGAATTGAAAATTGAAACATCATTAACAGCAGGTTTTACTACTTCATAATTTAATACTTGTTGTTGTTGTGGCTGGTGTTGAGTATGATGTATAGGATAGCGAGTAGGCGGATAATGTCCAGGAATCCGCCAGCTGGATGATAGCGGTGGTTGTTGGTATAGTAGTGGTGGTGGTGGTGGTGTGGGGAAGCAGTGGTGAAACTGTTTGCATACATGTTGGTGTTGAAATATTTGGTGTATATTGGGGCCTACCAGGTGGTACGCTAACATCCCACATACATCGACCTCTTGGGAACAGCATTGGTGGAGGTAAATGTGGCAATGACCTGATTGGTGGTGGTCTGTTGTAATTGGTCATTTTCAATAATGATCACTATTAAACTGTAAGAAGGGAAGATATTAAAACAACAATTAGGCCAAGATTATAAAAAAAGTACAAATCCAATAGAATTTATAAATAAAGCTAACTAGTACCGATTAGTGCATACATTGTGAACATTTGATTAAAATTACACCCAAAAGGCATACAATGAAAAAGTGAACATGAAACAATGTAATGCGATGAAAAAATAGTCTGCAATGAAACTAGTACTGGAACAAGAGTCACAGTTCCAGGGAGAATAAATAAGATTATTTTGCAAAAAACTGAAATGTTATAAACTATAAAATATGGTCTGCTTGACAAATCATCATCATCAATATCAACATAGGACCAGGCATTACTGCGTAATGGTTCGAGTTGCCACACCTCATATCAGTACATCAAGTAAAAAGGCAGTGAGGCGCAAGATGAATGCAGTTAAAATAAATATAAAGTACGAAAAGAGAGAAACGAAGAATGAGAAAATGGTGAGAATCGGTATAGCGTAGTTAAGATGAAGATAATGAGTGTATACATCTGCGCCACTGACATCGGTTCTCACCCATTTCACCTAGGGTCTCCAACCACTGGTTCCTCTTGTCCCGTGGACCCCAACCACCTAGTCTGCATCGCCCCACATCACTCAAACCAACAATCAGAGACTTCATACATTGGTGCCATGTTTTAGCCTGACCACCTCGGGCCTTTTTCCAGCCTGAACCCACTTCAGCCAACATTGTGTGACGAGGCAATCGGTGACTAGGCATACGTAGTACGTGTCTCAAACATCTCAGTCGATGAAGGTTCATAACCTCGTCAACTAACTTACCTCTTCTCCCAAAACTCTACACCTGACTTCTGCATTACTCATGCGGTGAAACCACGGAATACGGCCTATACTACGAAGGCAACGGTGCTGAAACACCTGAGGCCTTCTCATATCTTCCACCTTCAATGGGCATGTTTCACAGCCATACAGTAGAACAGACCTGACTGCTGTGCAGTGCAAATAATATGGATGTAACAACGTAATGCGGCGCAAGTTAGTTACCTGGTACAAATTTTACTTACTATGCCATGAATCAAGCTTAGTAGTAAGTATGATGTGTTACCCAGCTGCCCAGATTGAACAAAGCAGCTCTTGATGTCACGACTTACTTATTGAAAGTCAAGGATTTACACCAATTAGTAATATTTTCACAATATAGTGCCATAGATATATGCTAATGGGTACTGATTTACAATATAAGACTTTCATGAAATCTCTCATTCAATAGACTCACTCCAAAAAAATGCTTCATTGTGTTTCACTAGGTTTATGTACGACTGAGCAGTATACAAACATAAGAAGGAAAACAGTTTGTGGTGAAATATTCATAAATCTGATCATAACTTTGAAATGATTCCTAGGAAATGCTTATTATATAGTAACCAGGTGGATAGAACGTGAGTGATGACAAAGTAGACGAAGTTGTGTGAGAGAATAAACAGTCTGAAGATAATGGTTAATGCTAATATTCAAGCTTCAGAAGACATCAAAGAGTGGATAGATCAGGGCCGTGGTGATCGATTTTCAGCCATATCACCACGAGTTCTCAACTACTGATTCCTATCGTCTCAGGGACCCCCAGTCAGGTAGTCTACATCTCTTCATACAGCTCTCACACACAGAGGTATAAGGCTATGAATCACATTCAGTGTAAAACCTAATTTTATAACCCTGCTTGCCACACCTTAAAAGATGGTAAATGATTTGGATTTATGATCTCATGTTTGCGATTTCAGTGTTTGATCAATGAGGTATAATAAATCTGAAAAACTGCTCGAAATGGAAATAAAACTGGAAGGTTATTATCAACTAAAAGACAACAAAGACTATCCCATATCTTTTCAAGTGACTTTTTTTATCCCAAGAACTGACAAGACAGTAATTCTCGAAGCCAAGTTTAGCCAAATGATACTACTTACACACTACTAAATTTTAATAAAATGAGACATTGTTCTCGTTTACACACACCATTTGATTTGCTAACGAAATTTTAAATATCAATTCTGTATTTTGGACAAGGAAACCGGCCAGTAGATAGTAATTAGTGTCAAACCGTCTGGTCTTCAATGTTGACTAGCTAGATCCAATCAATCAGGTTTACAATAAAATCAATCAGGGTTTAACGGCAGAAATCATAGTACACCATATTAAATGATCAGGTGGTTGCAAGCGATCGACACGAAGAAGACTGAATCGTTGTCAGTGGTAAAGTTTCTACTTGAGATTAGTGACTGACATGAGTTTGAGCTTATCAGGAAACCTCAACTTTACAAGCATGCCTTGCCATGAAGTTTAAAGTCCAGATATGAAACGACTCCCTGCCTCTAACAATTGGACGAATTTATTCCAGCCATATAATCTAGCTAACTATGGTTTTGAAGGACTAGTCGAGTAATAAATAATATGGAGTACAACTATATACAGTATTTTCATAATATTCTGAGACGCCACTTCAGTTGTCAATGGTTCAACCTCAAGAGTGCATGTCGCCACGGTCGCAAAACATTATCAAGCTCATGTCCCCGTTACTCTACTTTCTAAATAACTTTGGCGAACTCGATATTGAGATGGAACTTGGATGTAGAACCTAATCCTATGAGAATAACAAGTCAACTGTCACAAAGTAGAATCCCGTGACCTGGTCCCCGATAGGCTGAAGTAATTTGATTCTAACATTTGACACCTATTGCATAAAAAACAGAAAACACTGTACACGTCAACCTCAAACCAAATTTGTGTGCTGTATTGGCTAATGGTCGTTACTCGAACTAACTCTAATGATTTTTCAAGTTGGTATTCATCGTGGACTGATATCAGTTGGAGGAACATTGGAAACCTGAGAGCACTGGACAGCTGCTTCGTCCTAGTATGGGACTTCTCAATCGTGCGCACCCACAACACCACCACTCTTCTTTTAGCTAACATTTCAATTATTTTGCTGCAGAATTAGAAACCGATTTTCGCACAGTCTCGTGTGACATTTTATGTTAATTTGTCTGCCTGATATTCGGAACTCTAGCTATTTCATTTCATGTTATGACCGACCAATGATATACACATATATATCACAGGAACAAAATAACTATACTATATTGTAGGAATACATACAATAATCTAATTCATTATATTAGAGTTGATTGGATGGCTAGACGTGGAATCGAGGACTAGCGTCAAGGTCGAGCGATTCGACCCAGTGCAGCAGCGTGAAATTACAGGTATCGGTAAGCAATAACTGGTACTCGTTGCACAAGTGGTAACTCTCGTGGATAACGCTCCGTGGTTTGAAGTGATGGGTGCTGGGTTCGATTACCAGTGGGAACATCACTTGGTGTAAATATCTCCGACTGACGAATCCCAAATAGGACGAGATGCTCCTTCTGGATTCCACTCCTAGCTATCAAATAGGCTTCAATATAATGAATATCTAGGCAGCATTGAGGAGCTCATCTGCCAATAGAGGTGGGGTGATTCGACCCAATTTAGCAATGGGAAATTAATAGTGTCAAAAAATAATTTAATTTACTCACCATATACAGCCAAGTGTCAAATAGTTCTTCAAAAACTACCAAGCAAAGTCCAGTAATACCCGGTAAACTAGGATGAGAGTGGAACTTATTACCCAATAGCCCCAATTCAATTCCCTAAACTAATAAGTTACTTCACTAATTTCCTGGAAAAACGACAACACAATATAGACAAAACATACAAATAAATGAATTTGATTGGCTGTGGGTAGCAGAGGAATCCAGGAAGTGCGTCTCGTCCTATTTGGGACACGTCAGCCGGCTGTACCTGCACCCCAGTGAGTGATGCTATTCCCACTGAGACTCGAACCTCGTACCCATCGCTTCAAACGCCAAGGTGTTATTGACTATGCCACGGAAGAGCGATAGCCACTTCTTGTACAACGGCTAGTAGTTATTACTATTTATTGACAAGCTTGTAATTCTCTGTATTTTTTATTGGATCGAATCGTTCGACCTCTATTGGTATGTGGGCTCCTATGCGGATGCCTCGATATTGCCTGAATGTTAATTATGATAATTTGCTTGGTTGTGGCTAGCATGGGCGTTTGGAGCGATGGGTACGAGGTTCGAGTCTCCGTGGGAACAACATCACTCACTGGGGTGCAGGTACATCCAGCTGATGAGTCCCAAATAGGGCGAAACGCGCGTCCTGGATTCCTCTGCGACCCACAACCAACTAACTTATCATAACTGATATTCAGGCAATACCGAGGCATCCGCATAGGAGCCCATATGCCAATAGAGGTCGAACAATTAGATCCAATAAAAAGGGGAAAAACAAGTATATCAACAAATAGTAATAAATAAATGAATGGCTTAAACATTCTATTAGACCTGAATGTAATATGAAAGGCAGGATATCACCATTTGAATTAGATGATTTACACTGTCGTTTAAAGAATATCAACAAAAACTTGGAAAACAAAGAAAAAGATTGACGGTTAAGCCACGCAAGTTGGGTAAAAAAACACTAAAATTTGTAAGCCATTTCGATAAAACAGTTGTATAAGTAATGAACGCGTGTTTAAACATAAAATAATATTTGTAAAAGTTTTCAGAGCACACTGGTCAGCAACTACTTAAAGATTTTGCCAGATAGTGACGAAAGAAAAGAAAACAGCTCATCACAATAAAATCTAGGCTTCATGGGGTGGATGCACCTTCATACGAATACTGGTGTTTTCATTATAATCCAAACTCAACTAGGTGGATATATTTATATACTAAGTGATGGGCTTCTTGAAGCATGAGGACTTATGATACTAGCCGGTTGCAAAGGTTGAAATAGGTGGAGGAGGTTTTACACCCGAGACCAATTGCTGGAAAGCCAATGAACAACCGTCTTCACTGGTATAAAGGGTGATCACATACATCCATGCTGCCATATTGTTCAACGCCAATCTCTGTTACATCTGAGTGCAAAACTCGCACTAAAAACATAACTAGAAACAAAATTCCGGTCCAGTGAAGTGAGAGCATGCCTTGACTTTAATCACTCTGACACTGTCTACAGACAGTTGTTTTTTACGTACATGTAGTGACAAGAATACATACAACCTTTATATCACTCGATAAACTATCTTCCTACCTGTATACCTACATCTATTTATCCGAATGTTTACCTAATGGTCGTATTACACTCAAGGAGTAACTTTGAAGATTCCAATGATTAAACAACTACATCCCTTTATTCTGCCTCCTTCCAACAGCCATATTCCACACCTCCATACAAAGGTGGAATGCACAGGTTCAATGTAAGTTAGACTCTTACTAGACAATTGAACTGTTGACTAACCAGTAGCATTTCTGTCAACAACCAAACCACTGAGAAAGGCGACTAGACACAGACTAATGTATAGATAGATACTATTTATTAGTGTAAATAGTGAAGATATATTTCCTAAGACTTTTACTGAATGTAACAGTATTTTCCAGCTGGAGTAAGTACTTCCCGTTATATCATTTTCATTATCAACGCTCATATACACTAAAAAATACCATAGAGAGAAGATAAACACTCTCAAACCAAAAGTACAGATGGAAGAATATACTATTTATTCACTTGTTATCAGTAGTAATAGTGGTCAAAAAAGTCATATGTACAGGTCATACAAAAAAGACACCCTCACACATCTTCTGTTGTATACACAAGAGTCTGGCAAATAACGAAACCATTTCCATATCCTCAAGAAATACATCAGTGAAACAGGATATGAAATGGTGAAGTACAACATGTAGATACACACCAGACTTAGTACTAAAGTGGAACAATTGTTAGTGTTGAAACTATCTGGAAATAGATAAATAAATAACTCACTAGTTATTTTCTGGTGAAGTAAATAGTCAGTAGTAACAATATGGAGTAGGAGGGTCGAACAAAGCAAGCCTATAGATAAGCGCACTTGTGAAAATAATATACTGAAAATAGAAGTCAAAATGCAGAAATAAATTGTAAACTAATATAGTACAGACAAACAAAAAGTAGTAGAACGTCAAAGTGATAAAACTATGACGAAATGAAGACAAAGTAACAGTTATATTCAAAATATTACTCATAGATCAAGAAGTTAGACAATCACGGATAAGCAGTAACTCTGAAGGAAAAAAAAACTAGGAACAAGAACAGAAGTAACCAAGAGGAGAATAAGAAGCTATGATCTGTAAATAGATGTTCTGGTTGTAATTAGACATATACGCACATTCATGTGCATAAAGTAGGTACAAACATACGGAAAGACTGCTGGCGAAATGAAACATCAAATATTTTCCTTTTGAATACAAGTTATTCCCACAAGGCAGCAACATTCCCATGAAAATGAGATGCAATTGGACCACCTGCTGTGAACAAACGTGTACCTGAGGGATCATATTCATGAGTGTAGACTGCTAGCATTCGACGTTGACTGTAGAATGTGGGGAATGATGCAAAATTTGAATGTAAATTGGCGAAGTAATTCATCCCTAAAGATATAGGCCCCAGGTATGAATCACGAATTTGTAAGCGGAGTAGACCAAATGGCATTACATGAGATGGTGTACTAGTTTCATTCGTTTCATGAGGATTTTGACTATCAATAACTTCAGTACCTACAGTTTCGGTCCAAGTGTTTGGGGTAGAATAGGGTTCATCATTAGGGAAATATGATTCAGATAATGTAGAAGTACCAACATCTTCTGGAGTCTGATTCGACCCGCTAGACGTCGATGCAACAACAGCTGAATACATATTTACGACTTCAGCCACAGCCATACTACGTCGGTTACGTAAATTTGATAATCGATGTTGAACTCTGTCCAGACGTACACGCAAATTACTTACTTGAGAAGAAATCGTTACCGCTCGAAATTGTGAGGGATCATTATTGTTCAAAGGTCCCATAACAAGTGCTGGATGAGCAGGAGAAGGTGGTGGAGAAGGTACATTCCCACCAGTCACTTGAGGTTGTGAAACTGGCCTGGGTGGAGGACCCACCAATAGAGAAGCAACAGGTGGCATTTCGTAGTCATCACAACTTTGGGGTTTCACCCAACCAGGACCAATATCTAATTGTATTGGCAGGTGATGATCACTTCTGAGATCGTAAAAATGTACTTGACCACTGGAAGTACCGTAAGACAAAACTGACCCAGCAAAATTGAGGGAGCGGACACCTGATACATGCAGGGGAGGAAGAACACAGCGTGCTGCAGCTCCAACCTTGACTGTGGAACAGCGAATATCAAACAAAAGTACGCAATGATGAGTTGCCAGTGCTATACAATTAGGCTCAGATGGCCAACGTCGAAGAGCAACAGCTTCCTATAAAACATTTCAAAGCAAAAAACAGCCACAAACAAATCCAGTCATGTAGGCACATCATACATTTGTGATAACAAAAAATGTTATAATCGGAAACGAATGGACAAGTCCTATTAAGATACAGAGATACATACACGAAACAGCAACTTCATAATTACCGTTCTTGGTCACCTAAATCTATCCTGGTAACTATATGTTGTAGCTTTCAATGCTTGAGTCACATTTCAACTTTCGAAATGTGAAGGATCAATGGTTGAAGACCTGAACTTGTGTAGCCCAAGAATGATCATAGTACTATAGATACACTTAACCTTATCCCTCCGCCATATATGTTTGCTATCTGATTATCCAGATTTTTTTCCCCGTCTATTTTAACTTATTCCTCTTTTTGTCAGCCCTCTATTTCTGTGACGTTCGGAAAGATTAGTGAGCACTTATATGGAGGAGTTTAGAGTTGTTCTATCTATTATAGCAACATTGTCGATCAATGAGTGAGCCCACCATAATGCAGGTGACCTTAGCAGTGAAGGCAGATAACATAAATTAATGGAGATTTAATGATCTGTTGTTCCCAAGTACCATTCAAAATGTACTTGCTGCTGGTTAGGTTATGTTGTAAGGGCAAAAAACAAACGGTTTAGCACAATGAACCTAGGCTTCAAAGTATTGTTTCGGGTACTAAAAAATAACAAGAAATCCTCTGAATTTCTTATTTAAAAGACTGACAAAATTCATTAGTTTTCAGTTTAATGTAAATGAACTATAACATCCATTCATCATCTTTTGAACATACCTTAAACAGTCAAGCTTACCAGCTAAAAATGAACGTCCTTTACAAAGAGTTTTATAAGCGATACGAAATTCTGTTAGTACGCCTTTGTGTTTAGTCAAATTACACTCGAGTTTCACACAAAGATGTGCATCAGCTCAAGTTATCATAGTAACAATGCTGGTAGATAATAATATCCGTGACGCATAAGACACTTGACTTTTAGCAAATGAGAAACAGATGCAAACACCACTCCATTTATCGAGGTTTGCGTAGTAAAATATTATCACTAATCATCGAAAAACAGGTGCGGCTCATAGCCTAATATGCTAAAATATACGTTGTTCGTGGATTTTTGAACCAACAGGTTAATCTTCAATGAAATGGTTCCTCCTGAGAGTTGATGAAATATTTCATCAACTTAGATCTGAGCAGGGGAACCAACCAGATAGACAAAATCGACATAGAACCTAACATTACTGCGCAACGGTCCAAGTTGCGACACTTCATATTACCACACCAACTGAAAATGCACTCAGATAAAAGGTAAGGAAAAATATATGAGGAAGCAGTTAAAAGTGGTAAAAAGTCATCAAAAGAGAGCAGAGAAGAGCAAGAGAATACTGAGATTCAGTTTGGCGATTACGAATTTAGGGACTAGTGCCACGTTTCAGTCTGACCAGCTTTTCCTTTTCTAGCTTAAACCTACTTCAGTTAACACTACGCAGCGAGGTAGACAGTGACTAGGTGTGCGTAACACATGTCCCAGTTACCTCAATTGATGAAGATTTACAACCTTATCAAGTGATTTTCCTCTCCTCCATAAAACATTAGCTTAGCTTAACTTCTACGTTACTGAAGCGGTTACAACCTATGCTTATGAAAGTAATCGAAAGTGATCGAATACCTCGACTCTTCTCACGTCTTCTACCTTTAATGGCCACGTTTCACAGCCATATAGTAGAACAAAGTGAACCACACCGCAGTACACTCGACCCTTAATGGACAATCTGACTTCACGGCTGCTCCATAAGCGGCGTAAGTTGGTGAAGGCCGATCGAGCGGTTTGCAAAGATTTCGTCGTTCACTGAACAACCAAGGTTAATCCGACTTTCTATGTAAGTAAAATAGTCAATGCTCTCAAATATTTCAATTTTGATTGCTAGACTGGGTAGGCCAATCCTTGAGCAAAGATTTGCATTTAGGTAACCAGAAACACATTCGAAACATTCTCAAGATGCCACTCAAGGTTTCAAGATTCTGCATTTTTTTAGTGTCTTCATCTAACGAAACTATCATTTGTATGCTCTAGATCTACCAAGGATTCTATTGTGATAAGATCAATCCCTATGAAGTCAGACGATGACAGGGACCCCATAAGTACGTCTACGACAAAAACAAGAATGGAAACAGTAGATATCCTTGAGCGGCACCACTAGATATATAGAGATCGCCTGATATGTAATCATACGCTCTAACATGACTATCAGCGCCCGAATAGAGCCCCTAACGACAGAATGGTGAACTTACTCAGTGCCTCTTTCGGTGACACTACTATAAGACCTCTCAATCTACGGGGTCGAATGCTGCCTCAAGGTCAAGAAACCCAACTAGTATCAAGCCCCGGTGAGTGTGCCTCTGTCCCAGAACTTGGTGGAGAGTAAATGTGGTCGATACACTCACAGTCAGGTCTGAAACCTGCCTGGCTTTTTCGTATTTGTTATTCCTGAGCTCCACCCAGAAATCTGATAATTATGAAACCTAGGACCTAAGACGCTAGGTTTGTCAAACTGGTTCTCCGGTGGTTATCACAAGATTTCTCGCCTTTTTTTGAAGACTGGAACAATCACCGATCAAGATCAGTCAGAGGGGATCATATGTCTCCCATATACTAGCTAACACTTTATTTAACCTGACCAATAATCCCTGACATCAGTCCTTAAGTACTTTAGGTACTAACCCATCTGGTCCTAGTGCCCTTCATCATTTAAGATTACTCATAGCCTTCTCGACCTCCGTGAGAGTTAGAGGGCTTATCTCACTGTTCCATCCAGGATCTGACTGAATAGTAGCTAGGGATCATTTGAACTGTTTTTCGATGTGTTCCGCCCATCGCCGCCACCACCCTGCGAGTCAGTCGCTACAGCCTCACTAACTACTGCACTTTTCACTTCATTTTTTTCTGCCGTTAACAATCGTCAATCTCTTTTCCATCTAATGTAGGTGTAAGGCTAGGGCACTGTAGTAGAATATATTACATCTGTTTATTTGATGTGTGACACAAGAAGATACAGTATTGTTTACTTGATGATATTTCGAGCATGAATTATTGCTCATAATCACGTCAATGTGATACGATTGAGTCTTTTTCATCTCTTTAACCTTCGCTACCCACCACTGTTTGGAGTTACTGTGAAGACTATTTGTTAGCCTACATTCAAGTTCCTTCCGCTTCTCAATGTACACGAGACTTGAAGTGATGCGTTTGTGTGTATACATTAATTTAAAAGTTGTTGCGGTCTACTGGGTCATTCTGGCGCCCTTCTGAGAGCCAACCACGGTTTTCAAGGCTGTTTTTACACCAGAATGAGGATGATATCAGGCTTTTTCCTGATAACTGTCGTTGTTTCGGAAAATGTCTAGCCAGTTTTTGCTGAGAGTATTCTTAGCATTCTAATCGTTAAGTAGCACTTGGGATGGTCTTGGTGCTGTAGTTTTTTTGCGTCCATTTAAATCCAAACATACGCGTGTTCGCTATCCAAACATGTACTCTAGAGGGATAGGCAATTTTCCATCGACACTCTCCACCGATAAATGATAGCAGTATGGTCTATCTGTATCCACTGTTGACTTGCGGTCGGTGGACACCGTGTAAGATAATGTCTGTCCTTATGTCTGAGGTTTGAGCTGGCCAGAAGTAGATGGCTGCCTGATCACAGTTGTAGCAGGCGATTACCGTTCTGTTCGTTCGAATTTCAAAGTGCCACCTAAGTACCTTTCTGTTTGAATTGGTCTAACCATATATGCATTAAAACCAACTACAACGACAACTACGTCAGAAGTTCGATTTTCATTAGGAGGCTAAACAGTTTTCGGTAGAACTCATTTTTCATTTCATCTGAGCTGCAGTCAGTCGGTGCATGAGCAGAAATTACAAGGGGACAACGGCGAGTTTCACCATTCTTTTTAGTGCTCACTTCACCGTTCAGTAAAACAGTGCGCAGATGACTGTCAACTGGGGTCGAGTCGCGTAATACACTTTTTACCCTAGCGCTTAATGCTATGTCTACACTTACAAGACCGTTGAATATTCAGATACTACCAGAGAGAATTTAGCGAATTCACCATATTGGCCGGGTTTTTCGCAAACACAGCAAACAACCATGATCCAAGATGCCAATTTTGATTAGCGAAGCTTATTGTTCGATTTAACGGAGAGCACGCATACTTTAAGTTATATGAAGTTTGGAGAGCTGTTTTGGAAGACAAGATATGCTATTTCGTGAACTCAAATCGTAATAAAGAGTTGCAGAGCGAGAAGAAAGTAAAGATAATGTAAAAGTGTTGACTGAGAGACATGAAGGAAGATCAGAAGGTAAGGATGTAAAACACTGATAATTCTCTGAGGAAACTTTAGTTTTGATGGAGTTGTGATGGTAATTGACACTTCTCAGTCATCCCCACCATTAAAGGCTATTTCTTCTTGACGAACCTGAAAAAGAGGGGTTGTTGTGTGACCGCAGAGCCAAAGGGACGTCTATTTGATACCGACCACACACGGCTTTCTAAGAGTTTGCAGTATTAGTTTGCTTCCCCATATTTCTGGCATCAGTATAACACAAAGGGTTGTGAGGAGCGTACTATTCCTAGGGAAGATCTATCCTAAGCCGCCCCCCTCCTATAGAGCAGGCAGCATCACCATGGCATTACCGGTTATTCGTAGGAAACACCCTATTGTTGTCACACACCCGTCAAGTCAGCAGTACGACTTCACCCTCCTCGAACTCACATCATAGCGCAACAGCTCACACTACAATGTCAACTGCTTTTTGTCTTAGCACCATGCAACAAACCTTTCTGGCATGGTAGAACCTCGAATGAAAAACCGTTCCACCAGCGCAGCTCCTTGGGTCACTTTAATACGCAAGCCTAATAATCACGTCAAGCCAGTAGCTATCAGTCCGGCCTATTGAGTAGGAAAGTATATTTTTATCTTGAAGAGACCTGCACCTTAAAAGCTATTACGCATATCCGCATAAATTCCTTGAGTAGCAATGTTATTCTCTAATTCAAAAAGTCAAACAATCATCAATCTTAGCGATTTTAAAATAATTTTCAACAAGTCAATAAGTATTACTTCCAAACAATCTACTGTTGAGGGTAAGACATTATGAAATATGAGACGTTAGAAATAACTGCACAACACATACACTGTGAGTCTAAACTTTAGGTTACATTAGCTATCTGATAAACCACCATACCGGGAATTTCCACATGCACTGCATTGTGACCTGATGTAGAAATGTACTGTAAATTTGTCGCCTTCTTAATCTCTATTAAGATTTGTGTGAAAACTCAAATCTCATATTGACCAACTGGAAATGATACAACCAAGATCGATGGAAACCATAAAAAAATAGGCTTCAATATGTCATACGTCCTTTCAGTTGCTCTCCTTAAATCATATTTGATCATTACCTGTGCTGGGTGATGACTGAAGGTGAAAAAGGAATTTGGGCCGCAGCAGGACTCGGACCAGCAACCACAACAGTCTAGATTTTTATTTCACCTTCAATCATCACCCAGTATCAATACAAGTCTGCCAGACGATGGCTATCTCAGATAGTCAACATGATAATTACCTGTACCTTGAAACCTCGGTAACTATTTTATTTTTCATGTAACAAAAGTAAAACAGCTAGATTTTCAAACCACAATTCATTAAAAAAACTAATACATTTATTCGTACTAATCAATGTTAATATAATTAATTTCCACTGGACAGAAAACCCACCTGGTATCCATCTCTTAAAACTAAAGTGTAAATTGGGCGTGTACTCTTATCCAAACCCATGCGAACAGCATCGTACAAGTATAAGCGACGCGACATTGATACCACTGCAAGATTAGTCTGAGTTGGGAGATATTCGACAGCACGAAAACGATCATCTGGCGTGGACGACATAGCGTACGCAATTGGACGTTTTATATGCAGTACGGAAGTATCAGATTTGGTTCGCGCACTCTGATGTATGCTGTTGCGAATGTTATTTGTAACATTTTCGGTGGATGGAATACGCCATAAAGCCAACGATGAGTCCCGTGAACATGAAGCCAAACAGGTATCATCGAGCCATCGTAAATCAAATACCCAGTCATTGTGGCAATCCTAAGAATTAAAAAGTAGACAGAAAACATCAGTGACAGCCTATAGTCAAAAAAATACTATCACTTAATCTCATTCCAGTGCAGGCAATAGCGTCAAAGAGTTAATGCAGACACTAATATAGGTACTCTTTGATCAGATCTAGCAAAGATGATATTAAATATAGACCAGTGACTGCATATATTTGAACGTGCTGCGCTTGCAGATGTTGTATTTGTCATAAGAATAAAAAGTATTATCAACTGCTACATCCAAAGTACACCGGGCTTGAACAAGTTTTCTTTGATTAGTCTAAAGAAAGAACGAAAGTCCTCTTTAAATAACCACGAAGAACCTGATAAACTGAAAATCTTCCGAGATCCTACAATCTATGATCATCCCGTGCCTATCTAGAACCTGAGAACAACAAAGTAGGCAGAACTGATGAGGTTTACAAACTGTTCTTGGGTGAACTGATAAGATATTCAACATCCACGAGACCCTGGAGAGGAAGCATATTTGCCGAGGCTCTACACTAACTATATTTTATAATCTGCCTACATCTGACTTGCGATACTGCTTAATACAAACGGTGCCTGGAAAATATATCGCATTACTGAAAGCTTCATTTTAGAATACACATAGTTGTGTCAAAGCTTAAGATGAACCAATCAACTTAGTGTTTATTGAATATGACCACCCGCTTTATTCTTTCATCAAATTTCCAATAACTGGTTTCTTTAGCGAAAATTTTATAATCGACTTGAAATATGTAAATTACTTGGTCCTACCAAACAAATTAAAAATAGTTTCTAAGATAACAGATATAATGTTTAGGAAGAGTTTATCACTTCCCAAATGAAAAATCTGGCTACATGATTAGCTTCCATTGATGCATCATTGGACAACAGACAAAGAAGTAATTGAGCACAATGGCTGCCTACTTCAATTATCCATGATCTCGCACCAGCCTAAGTGGGTTGGTTTCTGACGAAACTCTGATACGGATGGTAAACGTTTGTTGCATACTTTCAAACTCATGTCACGCGTACAGTAGTAAAATATTTACATGCCTATTGAAGGTTGAGCGTACTGCACAACAATTAGCTTTCATCCACTAAATTTTTGAAAAACATGACAAATTAAGGTGGAAAACATACTAAACCAATGTCTTCTTGAGTACAAAGAAAACCCTGAGTGAATTGATCACATCAATACGAAACCAAACTCAGTTGACAAACACATGATCAGTAATACACTAGGTAATGAGCCACTTCACTCTCTATTGTTAGCCGTGGTACCGTTGAAGATCAATCCTGGAGCAGCAATATGCATTTCGGTGGTGACAACCTCATCCCAAACATTCTCAAATTCCCACTCAAAGTGTTCAGAAGACTCTGCATCTTGTCAGCGTCTTCACCTAACAGGACTATGTCATCTGCATATTCTAGATCTAAAGGAAATTCTCCACCGATTAGGTCAACGTCTGTGTAATTAGGTGACGAGAGGGAAACCTCCATAAGAATATCTATGGTGAAAATGAATAAGAATGGAGATAGTGGGCACCATTGACGGACACCACTTGATGAGCATAGCTCCCCGGAAATCTTACCATAGGCTCTAACACGCCCACAAGTATTCGAGTAGACAGCCTTCAACAAAGTGATGTACTTACTAGGCATGCCTTTCAGTGACAGACATTGCCATAAGACTTCTCGATCAACAGAGTCAAATGCCGCCTTCAGGTTGAGAAATACAGCTAGTGTCGTGCCTGTAAGCGAGTCTGTGTTCAAAAACCTGGCTATGTGAATATTTGGTCGATACATCCACGGCCAGGTCTAAAGCCTGCTTGGTTTTCTCGGGCTTGTTGTTCCCGAGCTCCACTCAGGAGCCGAAGAATTATAGAACCTAGAATCTTAGACACTGTGTTCGTCAGGCTGATTCCTCTGTGGTCATCACAAGAGGACTTCTCACGTTTCTTGAAGACTGGGATGATCAGTGACTTAGACCAGTCAGAGGGGATCGTATCTGATTCCCACATACTAGTTAACACTTCCGTTAACCTGACTAAGAGCACTCTACCACCATTCTTGTATACCTCAGCAGGTAGTCCGTCTGGTCCTGCTGCCCTTCCTCGTTTCAGGCTACCTACCGCTTTCTTAACTTCTCCTAGTGTTGGGTGGCCTGTCTCTATGTCCCATTCAGGATCCGACTGGATAGCGGGCAACGCAATGGTGGCTGGAGGCCAGTTAAACTGTTCCTCAAAGTGTTCTGCCCATCGTTCCAGTCGCCTTCCCTGCGAGTGAATCGCAGATCCGTCCTTCTCCGCTATGGTTTCACTAACTGTTGTTGACCTTTCCCCCCAGTCTCCTTAATAAGTCTAAATAACTGTCTACTGTTACCGATCGCCGCTGCCTTTTCCATCTCTTTAGCCTTCGCTGCCCACCACTGTTCACGATCGTTGCGCAGACTTTTCGTCAGTATATTTTTAAGTTGTATTCGCTCTTCATTGTACTCAGAGCCTGCAGGGATGCATTCACGTGCATCCATTAGTTTGGAAGAAGCTGCTGATATCCACTGGCTCTTTTTATTCACTCTTTCGGAGTCGGCTACAGTCTTCAGTGCTGCTTTTACAGCAGACTGAAGATGGCACCAAGCTTCTTCTGGATGAGTGACAGTCTTTTGTTCCGATAACTGCCTAGCCAACTTCTCACTGAACACGGCTTTGGTGTTTTCGTTGTCCAGCAGCACTCGTAGTGGTTTTGTTGCCAAATTTTTTCTACGTCCATTGAGACGCAGGCATATACGTGCTCGGACCAACGCATGATCGCTATCCAAACACGTACTCCAGAAGGAGCGGCAGTCTTCCACCGATCCTCTCCAGCGATGACTAATAGCAATGTGGTCTATCTGTGTCCATCGCTGAGTCGAGCTCGGTGGACGCCAGGTCAGACAGTGCCTTTCTTTATGTCTGAAATTTGTGCTGGCTAAAAATAGGCGGTTATCTGAGCATAGTTGTAATAGGCGATCACCGTTATCTGTACGTTCAGCTGGGATTCCGAAAGTGCCACCTAAGTGCTTCTGCCTCACTCAGTCTACCCACCTGTGCGTTGAGGTCACCTGCAACAACCACTACGTCCGAACGTTTGGCTTTCGAGAGGAGGTTAGACAGTTTACGGTAGAACTCGTCCTTCACTTCATCCGAGCTGCAGTCAGTGGGTGTGTAAGCAGAGAATACAAAGAGACAACGGCGAGTCTCACTATTCCTTTTAGTGCTCACTGTGCCGTTCAGCCTCATAGCGCAGAGGCGACTATCAACTGGCATCCAGTCTAGTAGTGAGTTTTCTGCCCTTGTGCTTAATGCTATGCCTACACCTGCAAGACCACGAGAGCTAGCTATCGAATCTCCAGAAACTCGAAGGGTGAATTTTGCGGATTCACCAGATTGGTCAGGAGAGGTCAGGTGAATAACTACACTTGGGTCCTGTATGCGTGTCTCACAAACACAGCACACATCCATGGCCCGAGTTGCTAGAGTCTTTGCCAACGAAGTCTGTTGACCAAGTTGACGGAGGGTGCGGACATTGAAGGCTCCAATACGTAATTTGGAGCGTGGTTTAAGGAGGATGCTGTCCTGTGAACTCAGATCGTTGTCGAAGGCTGCGGAACTAGAGGAAATTAAAGATGATGTAGTATTGTTAATTGAGAGACGTGAAAGAAGATGGGGAGGTAATGAGGAGGAGGCAGATAGCAGACCGAGGAAACTTAAGTGCTGACAGAGTTGTGAGGGCGGTTGACACTTCCCGGCTGCCCACACAGTGGAAGGCTATTTCTTCTTAAGGTACCTGAAAGAGATTTGTGTAACCGCAAAGCCCATCGTACATCTGCTTGAGGCCTGTCACACGTAGCCTTTCGACTATGATTATTTTGAACTTTTGTATTTTTGGGGCTGGATGGTCGAAAGGAAACGACAAGTGAACCAACACCGCCAGCCCGGCAGACCGTGGGGCATGGTGGAGTGTGTTACTTTTGGGGGCGACCTTTCCTAACCCCTCCCCCTTTCCACTGAGAAGGCAGCATCAGTATGGCACTACTGGTCATCCAAAGGAAACATCTTACTGCTGTCACATCTCATCCAGCTAATAGCAGCACGACTTCGCCCTCAGACCCCCATCATAGTGTAGTAATTTACACCACAATAGTAACTGCTTTTCGTCTAACCACTATCCAACAGAACTTTTTGGTATGGTAGGAACTCGAGGGAATAAGTCTTCCACTAGCATAGCTCGTTGGGTCATTGTGATATGCAAGCCCGACCACCACGTTAAGGTAGCAGCTATCGGTCCAAAGCATTTCTGTCTAACACATCACGGCAACCCTGATGACGATAAATTTCGTGAGCCTGTAATTTGCTTGTTGCTCAGAAGTATGTGGAAGATAAGTATACAGTCAATGGATCGATGACCTAAAAGAGATTTGGTATGCCTTACTCAATTTAGTTCTTTTGTAGTTTGTGCAACCCACATCTTATGGTGGTAGTCAATATTTCCAATATGAATACTGACAATGTCATAGTCTGATTATTTTATGTCTGTTTTATAGGCTCATGGGAAGTTAGTTCTATTTGCCTAATGAGATGCTCCTGGTCTACTATATTTTTGAAGAAATAAGAGCTCCTTAACAAAGAATTTTTTCCACTGTTAAGAGAAATGGAGGAGTTTATTTAGTTACCTCCTGATATTCCAGTACTCGCATTCCATTTTCGGTGGTTTACTACATCAGTTCACTGTAGTCAACAAAAATGGTAAATAACCTGAACAAATCTTGTACAGCTTTACTTACCAAGCTACGAATCACACTTATCCCTATGCTATCTTGTTTCGCTAAGACCGAAGTAGTTGGACTAGAAATTTAACACGATTCACCGGTTGATAAGTGAGTCCTAAGGCCGATGAATTGCATTTCCATAGTGCCCAATGATGGGGCACAGTAGATGATGGATAAAGCTGTTGATGTAGTAAACCAGTTGAGCTGTATTTCAAGTGGTCAAAGGATTTTTAAAGTCGTTGGTTGGCATGGCGTATATCTTTCACGTACACTAGGTTTCTCACTGTCAGAGGTTTAGATAGAACTTGGAAATTAATTCCAATAAAAGTAGGGTAATGTAGCTAGGAGTCATCTCTCTGTTGGCTACTCCATTAACGCTCCGCTAATAAGAAGGGTTTTAGAAGAAAAAAGGGCTAATTCGTTATCGTAAACCGTGACCTAAAGACAACTGCAAGTGGTAATGTTTCTGTAGCCAAAGGGTTTTGCGTTCTTCGGCTTTTTTGTACAACACTCACATGCCTCGATGAAGATGTTTTTTTACTATTCTATACCTCACTTGTGTCAGGTCTCATTCAGACTATTGTATCCAGGCGGCTAGTCTATGTTTCTCTAAAATCGGTTCGAAGGATTGCATATAAACTTATAACAGGTCTTGCAAACCTTTTCTATGAAAAGTGACTAGCAAGTTTAACCCTTTTTTCCCTATTGTATGACTCTTGTGGATGTACTAAAAAGAAACGGTTAGTCTATCACCGGAGACCTAAAGTTAGGGAAGGAGAGTTAGAAGACCAACATCTACGTCCCATTCGGGTTCAGGCTGGATATTGTGCAACTGAAGAGTTGTTGAAGACCAACTGAACTGTCCTCCAGTGTTCTGCTCAATGTTTTAGTCACCTGTTCTGAGGTCATCAGTGTCCCAATTATCTTCGGTAATAGCTCCACTAACTATCGTTTTCTTTCCGATATCCTTAACGAGCCTAGATAGTTGGTGAGTGTTACTCCACGCTGATACCTTCCCCATCTTTTTAGATTTCGTCACCCACCCTTACTTGTGATGATGGCGAAGACTCTCCGTCAACTTATGTTTAAGTTGCTTTCGCTCTTCATTGTGGTCACAACCAGTTGGAATGAGTCTTTTCGCAACAATCAACATGGGTGTAAGTTACCAATTGTCTACCGCTGTTTCTACAGCACACAATACCACGCCAGGTCTCCTCAGGATTAGCATTGCAGTTATGTCCAGTTAAATGCTTGGCTATCTCTTCCCTAAATGCGTAATTGACGTTCTCATCTTCCAATCAACTTCAGACAATCCGTACTATCGCCTGTTTCCTACAGCTAGTAAGGTGCAGACATACCTAAGCCTTTACCAGTGCGTGATCGGAGTTCAAACTGGCTATCCAGAAAGAATGGCAATCTTCCATCGATCCTCTCCAGGGACGGCTTACGATCTGCTTGTGTCGATCATTGGTCTGAAGTTGGCGGATACCATGTGAGTCTCTATGCCTAAAGTTATGAATATGCTAACAACGATACGTACGTCCCTAGATCTCCATGGGTTATCCGACGTCTAGCTAGAGCTCAAGAGCAGCAAACTAGAAAAAACCAGGCAGGTTTCAGACGTGGACGAGGGTGTCTCGATCACATTTCAACTACTCGATAGGTCATGGAATACAGATGTGCTTACCAGCAGCCGACAATTGCCATATTTCTCGACCTGAAGGGGGCATTTGACTCTCAACCACGAGTTGTTGTGGCAATGCTCGACTGTAAAAGGAGTACCAAGAAAGTAGATAACGCTTATCAACGCGTTTAACTCAAAGTAAGCCAAGTAAGGGCTTTTGGAGAGTTGTCATCTGAATTGACGACGGGTGATCTCGTCCAGGAACGCCAGCCGATGCTGTTTCTGTTCTACCTTGTTATAGATGCACTAATGGACATAACCTTAGATGCCTGACTTCGCAAACTGATCCCCTCACTAGAGGGCGTCTGCTTGACTTGCAGTACCCAGACGACATTGTCCTACTGGGTGAAGATGCTGTGTTTGGAATGAGTTTTGCACTTGCTTATTGTAAAATGATGCTCCAAGACTGGTTTAGAGCTACTCTCAGTTTAGGAAGAGGGGGTGAAGTGGTCGATATTCAGCCATTTCACTAGGGGAGTTGCATCAACCAGAGCGGAGTAGCTGACAAAATCTCCACTCGAATAGTAAAGGCCCGTCTGGCATTCGCCAACTTGCATCATTTCTGTGCTGGCAAGATATAAGACTACTTATATAGGACGAGTATACTGCGGTATAGTCTGCTCTGCAGAACATGGCTGTTAAGAGATATCAAGAGATTACAGGTTTTTGGAGCATTGTTTGCGCGTGTGAGCAATTTTGAGGTCAGACGAAGGGCATCAGACAAGGAAAGCAAGCCGACTGAAGAGGCTGTGAACCTTAGCTGATTGGTGAGTTGAACATGCGCTGGGTACGCCGAGCCGCAAAACACTTCGATGTGAAATGCTAGAAGTTGGAGAAGGTTCAGAGTGGCCAGACTAAGATGTGGCTCCAATCCATGAAATCTCTGGCTATCGATCTGTACCGTGTATGCAGGCACAAACCACCTGGTTGAAGTACCCGTGACCATAGGAATCAGTGATTGAGGATTTTTAATGACATGGCTGAAAATCGGTCACAATAGAGATGTATTCACTATTTGACACCTTTTAAAGGTTGAATATACTCACTAACCTTCATTTTCAAACTCCCTCTCCTCTAATACACTCTGCTTTTATATCAGTCTTTTTCTATCCACTTGCTCTTTTCAAGCAATTCCAATCGATGCACTTACCTGTGACGTTTTATGCTGACCTTTTTCTGTCTGTTCTTCATTAGATACAGGGGGAATCAACCCCGGTTACAGTTTCGATGACAAGTGTCTTCACAGTGTTGCCCGTATGAGGGAATCACAATGGTGGTGAGGTTTAGCGTGATGTGTTAGACAGTTGAATTAAACTAGCCAATGGGAATGAGGAATTAGCTTGGCACCACCTTCCGTGCTGCCACGAAGTGTAACAACTTACAGTTTGTGCGCGTTCTCAACACTTTTCTTTGCACAGTAATTGACTAAGTGCAAAATACAGGGCTCCGCTCGATTCAGCATTGCTTATCTAGATGGACCATCAGATAGTACTGATGGACTTCAAAATGCAGGCAGTGAAATTAAACCAATATGCAAGCCTTACAAATGTCAGAACATTCTAACCTAAAATGAAAGGTGAAGTAACCCAGGACCCGTTTAAAAACCACAGTACGAGTATAAAAAAGTGGCACCAATCTTAAGGATTATTCAATCATATCGAAAAATGTCACAAAGTAGTGACTAGATGCACTTGGTAAGCTTCGTAATGGGTCATAACACCGTATACCTCTTCTTTCTCCACATCTTAGGGATGCTAAAGAACTTTGTTTATTCGTTGACTGATCGAAAACGCACTTCATGCATTAAGTAATAATCCCCTTACTTGGTATGTCATTTTGAGGTGTACCAACCCGAATGCTTTTATTACACTACACCACATTTAAAATGAGTTTATTAGTGATAGGCTGCATCCTATTGAAGCAAAGCGACCATATGTATTGGTGGATGTGCAGAAAAACCCATATGCGCAACCACAACCACTTCGGATAATGAAGTTTGATAATACAAAAACCTAGTGATAGCATGAGGAGAGAAATAATAATTGTATCGATACATGCTGATACTGCCAGTCAGCTTGGATCTCCGATATTACTAAGTCCCAAGAATTTCACTTTAGTATTTTTATTAGAAATGTCATATTATGAATATGGACAATAAATTGTCTGAAACGTTATTCAGTAAGTAATGCTGTTTCACTGGGTGACATTTCTAATAAATGGGATGAAATGGAACCACAATCTGCCCATCATACTCCTACATTAAATGCCAATACTCAGCTGTTTGATTTCGTGGCTTGCTTCTCGAATACTGACATCTGGTTTCTAACACCAATCCAGCAAGAAACAATGGAAATTCGCCAACGCTTACTCATCCACCCACCAACAGTAGTTTAAGACTGTGATTCCAATCTTTATGTGGTTAGGTATGCGGCATGGTAGATGTCATACATAAATTTAATAGACTGAGTAGGAATCAATGTCTCCATGGGTCAAAGCAGATGGAAGTAGCCATCAACTGCTCGTTTACTCGGAACATAATATATGCAATAATACAGATACCTTACAACTTACAGAAAGCAAGCAATGAGGAGAAAATTCTGTCAGTCGGTAAACACCGATATGGTTGACATTATCACCTCCTGTTGCGAGAAATGTTTTCGATGTATTGAGTTGGATGGAATGTATTCCGCAGGCACATGGGTTAAGAAAGTTTGTAACATCTCTAGAAACTTAATAAGAATTAAATACAATGTCATACGGGGTTTCCGATTTTATCAAAGGGATATCGAAGCTTTCGTTCGAAGTGCAATCATAGAGGATCAAATTGTTACATTTTGTACCGTAAACAATATGATTATTAGTAATCCACTGACAAGCAAATATTTTGTTTTTATGTCCAGGATTTAGTGAACGCCTTTGCCATACAAACGGGAGTTTGGATGATGATTCGGGAACCTGGCCAGTATCTATACATTTGCCAGTTCCTAGTTCACGAGAACGGAGTAACTTGATAATTGGTTTGAGCCTCTAAAGGTAATGAACAATCTGATTGGGACATAAAGACTTACTTGGGGATTTGCTACCTTTCGTTTAGTATGAGGTACCATGTAGATTATTTGAAATCCAAGCAGGTGGTGATTAGCGCCCAAGATACATCACAAATAGTTCAAGGTCAAACCGAAAAGCAATGACCAACACTTTTCACCGGTCCAAATGGTTCAAATAGATTTCTTCACGCTCTCCTCTGGGTTTTGGGAAATGGTTTCAGATCTTTGGTGAATTCCAAAGCAGTAAGTCTATCCACTCGTCAGCTGTAGCTGTAATTAGCCCAACGAGCGTTTGGGTATTGATTAAATTTCTAGGAATTGTATTATTTTTCCAAGGACTGTGGTGCATATGGGTTCTCAAAGGCCTTGCCACCAGCGAGTTGTTCGCACTTTTTGTATAAAGAAGACAGGAAGGAAGAAAAGTTGTCCGGCGAAATCTCTCCGTTGCAAGCGAGAGGAAGTGAAAGAAGTATCCAGCATCCAACATCAATAATGTGAGCACAGGAAACTTGCAGTTTTTAAACCCTCACTTCTGGGTTTCGAGACTCATTTCTTTTTATTCAGTTATGCTTATCCGGTGGTCACGAAAGTTTTGTAGTGTACCTTCCTGGAACCAAAATACAACTAGGGCTAGAATAAACAGATGAAATTAAACTAGCTAAATGAACCTCTAGCCCGCCTCTGGATGCTTTGGGTGTTTTACTTTAACGAGCATGCATCCGAGCAGGCTTGGGCGCCGTTTCGCGCTTCCTTAGTGCTCGTTAGCATGCTCGTGCTCAGGGTCCCTAGCTCAGCCATACTAGCCAGATAAGTTGAATAAACTCTTCCCCCATTCATTACTGTTACATTTACTATAATTAAATACATCACTTCTTCAAATATATTCCCGGGCCAGTTCTTTTGATTTGTTTCGTTAACAGTACTTGCACATTAGGTAAGGTACTGGTTAAGCAGGTACTAGAGCACCTCAAGTTAAGTAGGGTTGGCCGAACGTCGCGGAATGGTAACACATCCCTCTACAGTCTTTTTAGTTCGCCTGGTTGTAGCTTTAGAGATAGTGATTACCTGTTTGAAGGCTTACTTTTGCAAATTGCGAGGTGGTCAGCCTAGAGGGTCAGTGGAGCTGCTGATAAGATAAACCAACCACATATAATTTCTGTCTTTATAAGCACCGTTAACTAAGTATTGATCGTTATTTCAAAGACACAGTGAGGAAACGTTTGAGTAGGGAATAAGAAAAGAGGAGTGAGGAGCGTTTATGAAAGGAACAGATCATATAGCAGATGTTAACATCAGGTCGTACGGCAATGGCTGAGCAAGGCTTCATTTGTTACTGCCTTACGTCCGTGGTAAACCGCTAGCGCTCACTTGAATATCCAGCAAGCTTTTGGAGGAGCCAGATGATGTCCCTATGGACATTTCCTTCTGCAGATCGTTCTTTGGGGCACACACTCTATTTGGGAGGAATTTAGACCCAATTCCCGTCCATACCCTCTTCGGGGTGTTCGAGAGAGGTTCAAGGGGAACCGTCAGTTTTCAGCCCATAATGTTGTCCTGTTGAGATGGTCTACCCGGTGGTTGAATTTGCAGGCTGTTGTTGAGTCTCCTGTTTCTTCTTCAAAAGCTTAATATGAACAAGTTGAGTTATCTGAGGCGTTGCTCACATGTTTTGCGCGCTGGCCCGGCACGTAACGGTGCCATACTTCTCTCAACCTTTTTGAGTGTTTGTATCTCTCTTCGGTAGATGGGGCGCTGTCGTGTTGAAGAGCGCTCAAGATGATATAACATGGGTTTTAAACAAAATGAAGAACAGTTTTGGGGTTAGGGCCATAAACTACCTTCTTAAGAAGTGTGTGGTAGCATTCGCCTTTGACGCCATTCCCTACTAGTTGGAACCAGTATCTGGAATGCAAGAGACGTTCTGTCCTAGGTTCTTCTCCGTCGAAACCCTAGTGATTACACAACCGTTGACAGCGTGGCTATCTTTCATCGCTTCTGGTGTGCAAAGTCATATAAGCCTGCACTTCAAGTTAAAGCTCAAGACACCGAACTGACCAGAAATCCAACCACCGCAGATTGACCTTAAGCATCCGAGGCTCCACCTGTCCACTCATTTTGATGCCGTCGGTGAATCGGAGGATTGTCACATGTGCTTCGATCTCATTCTTGTGATGCATGAGAAAGTATTGACCATCTGTTTTGCTTGAAGTCCCCAACTCGTCTGCATAACTCTATGGAAGTTCTGATTATGTTTGGTGGCACCAGCATATTTAGTTTTGGTTAGAAACCGCAGTAGCCGTGAAACTGACGGTTTGTAACTGAATTTTGTGCAAATATTTTGTTGAAGAAAGCAGTTTTTCACAGAGTTCCTCCGTAACTTGAATATACGCTCCTTCTTTAGCAGGTAAGTGTTTTGAATTCGGTTGGTTTTGATTTAGATTTGGGAACTCCTGAGATTTGTGTCTTCGTTATGAGCTACACCGTGACTCTGGTCAGATTGGTCCCTTGGGCGTAATATTAGGCGCGCAGAATGCCCGACTTTTAAGAGTGCACCACACTGGAACAGGCCGTAGGTAATAACCTATCTGTGGAGAAGGCTTGAGAAACGTCTCTGCATTTCACGAATCAAGCTAAACTCTTATCCCATGTTCAACTCCATCATCACCCTCCATCGGCTGATAAAAGTACCTTGAGACTTATGAGGATCAGGAAACGACTGTGGCACCTATTCTTTGGAACAAACGGTGGTGCCTCCAGGATTTCGTATTCGAAGGTTGAGAATTTGTGTAAGCCAAGTAACACGAGGTTCGGAATAAAAGCAACTTGTGATCGACTGGCACATCTGACCAAAATGGTGTTTCTCAAACACCGTTTTGTGAAGGTGAAATCCAACTGTTGAGTCTCTTTCCTCTTGTTAGCTGAGGATTACAAAGAGTTGGCTGAATCCAATACTTTCGAAGCTCAGTGCTCTTGAAATACTTCTCTGCAAGGGACAACGATGTTATTATTCTGACTGGTGCTTCAGAAAGCATCCCAATGACGAGCCTAATGAACATCAATAGAGGGGTAGTCGTTTGGCTACCGAGCGGAATTAAGCACAGAAAATCCCCCCATCCCGATGACTTGCCACCAAAGCTATCCAATAAAGGAATAAATTGATCTTTTGAATTAAACATCTTTCTCGGTTGACATCATCTCCAGGCTGCTAGCTTAATTATCCACTATCTCTGTGTCAGACTCCGCTCTCGCGAGTCTGACGGGATTCTATGATCAGCCAGGTTTTCAAGGTAAGCGTTTGGAAACGCGTTATCATCACGATTGCTCAACCAGTATGGTTAACAACATACCCAGAAGATTATCGGGAGCAGAATGCTAGGCCATACCAGAAACCATCACACTGTAATGTCTCTAAAACGTCGGCTTCCCACTGGCCGCATCGCTCACCTAATCTCGCAGCAAGAAAGGAATGGGTAGGATATCGGGACAACAAGATGGTCCAGGATGTTGTTTCCATTCACTTAATTAGGGCCTTCGATAAGGTTTACCAATCGGGACTAAGGAAAAAGCTTTCAAGATTCAGGTTTGCCATTGAGGTACAGGCTTGCATTAAAGGATTTCTGTGCCAAGGGAAAAGAATAGTGAGAAAAAGAATGGGATGTTGTCAAGGTGGCAGCCCGCAAATAACATGGCTCCGTAAGGGACAACCTTGGGAAATATCCTTTCCTTGCCCCAAGTCAATGAACTTCTGGATGTGGCTGAGTCGCCAAAATTATTATGTGCCTATGATATAAAAATACTGGAGGTCATCCTTAACGATGAGAACAGATGCGCAGTACGGGCAGACGCGAAAGTATTGGTTTCAGACACACAAGCACTAATGACAGGCAAGTAATCGTAGAACGTGCGCAAATAGATATTCTGGCCCCAACATCTATCGTCTGGATATCATAGGCGCCGTGCCAGCTCCCGACGCACAAGCCATTCAACCAATCTGCACATTTCACGTCACAAATGGGTGAGCCATTCAGTTGAACATCTATTTGACAAACCACTTGGTGTTCCAAAGCTCTACCCCGGAATTGAAAGTAAGGATCTCCAAGCATGCATCCGCCTTCATGAGGTGCAAACCGTTTCAGTATCCTTATGTGTAGCTTATCTGATCCTCTCAATGTCCGGTCACCAAGACCGCTTGAAACTAGAAGAGCGTCATTGCAATCGGTGTTCACAGAGTGAAATCTCTCTGAAATTTCTGTCAAGTTATCAGCTGCTGTTTTAGCCTCCCAGTAGCTGGAAACCTGATGATTATAGAGTGGCCAGCCTTTTCGGATCAGTGTGATATATCTTGATAAGAGAATACCTGGTTCATAAATCAGGTATTGGCTGAGGATCGTATCAAGTGGTTGGTTGCAGTGCTACATAAGACCGAAAAATGTACGTCTCTAACACTGATGATCAGGTGACTTGGATGACGCTTTAGTTAATGGGTCACCTGAATCACCTGGTGGTATAATAAAGCATGTCGTAACTAGATACCTGTGTCCATGTCCATGCCCAGATGTTAAGTTCATTCTGGAGAAAATCATGTGATTTGGACTGAGGACTACTATTTACTGCGGTCAGCCCAACTTCTTGTCCTTCGTCTCTTATTACGTACAGTAAACCTCCGTGTGAAACACCATCATAAATAACCCCCTTCATAGCTGTATTATATGTACGGTGTTTTCAAACAGAGAATGACATTACCATGTCTGTGAATTGTTCTGTTAGAGGTGCGGTTGAAAACCTCACACAATTTCAACTCTGTGGCAGTAACCTCAGGTGTCAACAGTTTTTCTGTGATAGCAAAAATGCTGGAACTTTTCGAGTTAACTGTCTTACCAGGCAATCCCGAAGATTTTAGTAAACTGAGAACGCTACAAAAGTTTCAGCCTAGCTTGGTAGTTATACGCTCTATTCAGAACAACGTAGTGATTATCTGACTTGGAACTCTTAAGATTCGAAAACCCTTCATAACGACGTTTTCTCACATTTACACCTGTGTCTGCCTACTAGCTCAGTAG